TCCTAGCACTGGACGACTGTGGGATCAAAATCCGGAAAGCCAAATAGATCATTTTCAGGGTGCCCCGGCCTTTTTTTTATAGACATCGTTACTCCCTTGGCTACCAGATTTTTGTTCACTTGCATCCTCATCAAACCGAATTTATAAAGGCTTTTGTCTTCCTGCTACATTTAAAAGCTGACCAGTCCTTGCACTCACGACCTAAAGTGATTAGAACCGTACACAAGTCTGATTCTTACTCGAACACTTGGGCCTACTCCTCCCCTTCTCTCACATTTATCAAGCCTGCACATATTCCAAGTCCAATTGTTTCTTCAACATGCGCCATCCAAGACCTTCATCTTTTAAGTCTATGACCCTTAGCTCTACCCAGGGCCATATGCAGAGATGCTTCTTATCTGCAGCTACTCTGAGATATGACTTTGCCTGCAGAACTTTAAGCTTATCTGCAAAAGTAGGCAGTGCAAGTAAATACTGCATGCATACAACCACGGTATCTCTTGTACATCCCAGAACTACCCACATAGCTTCATTCTGTGTGCGTTGAAGTTTCATCAGCAGACTCTTTGATATGGTAAGCATTCCAAGTCCATAATCTATCACTGACAAGTATCACATGTTGGAAAACTGTGAACAACATTCTTTATTCCATGTCCATTGCTGCCATAATCTTGTGAGCTTTGAGTTATTTTTGTTGGGGTGGGGGAGGGGGGAGGGGGGGGGTGGTTATTTAACCGCATTACGGGTTAGCGTATCAGGTTGTAATATATTTTGAGGCATGAATAATGGTATCATATCTACCACCCCTGAAATATTAGACTGTCCCATGACCTGTGAAGTTTCCCTGTTTGGGGTAGGATATTATCATGTCTAGCTCCAGATTTTGATATATAAAAATCTGGAGCTGGCCGTGGATATTATTAAATCACAAGTGCACTCACTTGCAAAATTTCTTGCCGACCTCTTAAAAACTTCATTACCCCCCCCCCCCCCCCCCCACGTCCCACGCGTGGCTTCAAGTTGGAAACGACTGCTTTAAGGGTCCTCTTCATTACCTCCAATTAACAAAGAAAGATTTCCCAAAGTAGTCTTCTTTGTGGGAAATGTAGTAACCCTTGCCTAGGCTATTACTTGTACAGTAGAGGGAGCTACGTGGTCTTGAGGTATGGCATCCGCATTGAGTGCTGCGGGTCCCGGGTTCAAGCCCTGGTGAATGCTGGGATTTTTTATCACGCTGACTTCTAGTAATTTCCTCTGGTCTCTGTGTAGTAGTCGGCTCTGTGGCTAAATCGATGCGAACGCTTCGTAATGCCGGGGTGCCAGGTTCGATCCCAGCATGCGGGCCATGCGCCTTGCGTTTGTTTGTTTGTTTTAGTATCCAGAAGCCATAAGTTGTTAACCCTTAGGCTCGGTATTATGGATATCGCAACCTTTCGGCCTTGATTCCATGATAAATACCGTAAATCTGGGAGAAATGTGGCTTTTCTGCCTACCCCCAGGAGTAAACCCGGACCACAAGGAGTTCGCCACCCGGTCACCGCGCAATCCGGTTTAGCCAACTACGCTAGAGAGCCGGGCTACGTTGGTTTCGACAGTGGTATAAAGAAGCCGACCATCTAGAAAGCAATGGCAAACTACTCGACGAAAATTTGCCTAGAGAAACCACACAACAGCCAGGGGCTGCTGGGGTTGGTTCTGCAACGTCTTGTAAAGGAAACGCACCTAACCCCTGGGTAGTAAGATCAGATGCCTGTGTGTACTGTTGAGCATTTTAAAAAATCCCCTGGCAACTGGAATCGAAAAGAGTAGCATAACGGCGCTGCTCGGGAAAAATTTTGAGTTAAAATTTACCTAAATTATTTCAGGATACTCGCCGGTGCTACGGAGCTCGTTTCCCTGCCTGCGCTGAGATTCTTCTGACTCAGACTTGAGTTAGAAGTAGAACGGAACACTTATGTGTTACTATCCTTGTGCCATGATGTTGTTCCGTTGAATAAATCAATATACCGTGTAAAATGCTTCTTTAAAACTGTCAAATCTATTAAAAACTCTGTATTTAACCGATGCTAGCTGTATCTCTCTCATCCCCTTCCCACATAATCCACACACAAACACTTCATTCGCACATGCACACACACACAGAAAATTAACAGAGCAAGCAGGAAATTTACTGGCTACTTTTTAAAATCCTTTTTCTTCGCAGTCATGTGACTGAAATGAACTCGGACTTAAAAGAAGCGTAAGATAGCTCAAGTTAACTTTAAATCATGTAATGTCGTGGCCAGACCATAACAACATTAACAAATTGATACCAGCAATGTACGTTAAAGGCGCGGACAACTGTACTATTTCATTATCAAATAATATTTTCTCATAACCACCCTGTGGTTTAAAAAAAAAACATGTTATAAAACCAAGGATTTTCCAGTGTTGTATAATAATGATGAAGCAGTTCTTTTCCGATGACGCGTTCCCAGTCAAAAATCAATGTTTGAGAGGCCGTTTCTGGGTGGATCTCGCGATAGGACAGCCAGTTTGCAAATCTTGCTGTGTAGCAGCATACAGGACTATCATTCTTAGCTGTTCGTATGTTATTTTATGTGAGCCGACTTATATATTTTGAATTTCTTGTGTGGAGTAGATAGGAGTGTCAATAAGGGTCATAAATACTGACATATATATATATATATATATATATATATATATATATATATATATATATATATATATATATATATATATACATTTTTTTTTTCTAGTTAGCGCGTACCGGCATCTTTTTTGTGTCAGTGCTTCCATGTGCGGGTTCTGAGGCCCCATTGTTAGAAAACGAAAACAGGCCCACTGACTCCCCGACAAGCATGTCGTACTAGTCGACTAATTAGGGGCTTCCTTTAAATTCTGAGTGCATCTGCCCAAGCGACAAGGAACAACCAACTGCACATAAAAAAGCCAGTAAAAAGATGTACACGCAAAACTCGGCTCCTGCCACAAAACCAAGTGATTGAACAACCAGGACTTTCCATTTGAGGTTACAAACCAGTGAACAAGGTTTCAGTGCTACTGTAATATATATTTTGTGGTAAAAAGTACCGACACCATATTTTTTCTGGAAAAAGGCACCCCCACCCCTTTCTCTCTCTGTGTGCGCGCGCGTGCGTGTGTATGTGTGTATATGTTTGTGCGCGAGGAAATATGATATCAATTATAATGATAAGAATTTTAATGATAAGTATTGCTAAGAACAGCCTTGTTGTTCAAGTTATTAAGTGGAATTATTTAATCACTGAAGGAATTGTTGCACATTACTGCAAGTTTATTATGGTTTTATTTTGCACAGTTGTTCGTTAATAAAGATCCACTCCTTTTTTCATTGAGACGGTAAGCAATAATATGTAAAACCGACTATATAGCGCTTTAAGTCATGTATATTCAGTTACAAAACATCATACATAAAGCGCAAGAAAACTACTGGTAAAGTTATTGGACGAAATATAGAAATGCGGTGGCATGATAGAAATGCAGTTAACCTGTTATTATGTATTGTGATGGTATATTTAGGTAAATGCTTTAAAAAAAAAAAGAAAAACATTTAATGCAAAATATCTACGTCACTGGAGGTTAGAACAGGAATTCTCGCAAGCTATTTAGTCAGTTTCAACTTATGACCCTGACTCTTAGACAGTTAATAAACAAACCAAATAATCTCTGGCCATCTCTGAGCTTCTTAGACGTTTTGATAGAGGTGAGGGCTTGGCGACAAATGGCCACAAACATCAGAAAAAGTTTCCATTTTTTGGGGTCATGTTATGAGAAGAATGATACTGGCATATGTTGTGACCACTGGAAAGATTCGTGGGAAAAGAGACAACGGAAAACAACGCAAGATGATTTTTGACAGCCTTTTGTCATTTCACGGAGGGGTGTCAACCCACAAACAGATACATGCTGTTAAAGATCGCAGATTGTGGAGAGGCATGATCGCTCACGCCAGTCGGCAAGGCATATGGTGGAGATTTCTAAGTTTGTAATACTTCTACATTGGGATCATTCGACATAAAACAGAAGCAGCTACTGTGGTTACCAGGTAGTGTCATGGAAAGTAAAGGCGGCCGGCGTGGTATTGACCACATCAGCCATCGAGTGCCGACTGCTCTATTAACGTGAGACAAACATCATATGTCCAAACAGCCACTGCCGTAAAAAGGGTCATTTGCTTACTCAACGCCGTTTCTAATAAATAGAGAAGACCGTGGCTTCCTTCACTAATTGTTGTGATTCTTTAAGCATTGGGGAAATGGTGGAAAATATATACCATAATTTATTACATAACTAATTCTAGCTACTTATGCTTTTCGAATATCGAGACATTAAAAAAATGTAATCAGAGATATCTTGGTCAACCCTTTTAGTTTTTAATTGGTATATATAAAAGTAACGAGATCTTTTATATGTTTAAAACTTTACAGAAGAAAAAAAACGAAAGATAATTAATTTATCATGAATTTTAATTAACTAACACAGTTTATGAAACATATGTTATAACTAGCCACATAATTACAATAAAATAAAAGAAAAAGTAAACTATATTAACATATTTTTTAAATTGTTTGTTTAGTTAAAGTAAACAACAACTGTGAAATAAATAATTAGTTAAACAGTTAAATTTGTGTTTGTTTCATTGACAAGGCTCACTATAGTATAGATTTGCATAAATAGGTTTAACCGTTTATAGTCTGCAGCAGACGGGAACACGACATCATTGAGGCGCGTTATCTTTCTTGTTACCTGCATTACGGATTAAATATTTCATTTTATGATGTGATTATGTGCTCTGCTTGTCGTAGATTTAAACGTCACATTCGTTTTCATGCTTGACTGAAAACGTTAAGAGCATTACATACTGGTGTGAAAACTGTTGAACAATCTAAGCAACATCGACTAATAATTATTATTATTATCCTTTTCAATATTTTTATTGTCTGCTGCGGGGGAAAAACATGGAGTTGTCATCAAACAGCCAGTGTAAATTTCATAAGGTTGAAGAGAGACAGAATTGGGGTAAAAAGATGGAGTTTATGCTTGCAATCATCGGATACGCTGTAGGACTTGGAAATGTATGGAGGTTTCCCTATTTGTGTTTCAGGAGTGGTGGCGGTAAGCTCTGTAATTATTTTTTTTAAAGCTAGCTAGTTAGTTTAAATTAATTAAAAACTAATAAATGTTGTTATTAATTCCATCATGACCATTATGTAGTCGGTCATTTGCAGAACGCCACTCGGTCTCTCGCCAGTTCTCCCGCCCCATGTATTTTCATACTCAAGTAGTCACTTATTATACCCTGTGCCCATCTTCGTTTCATTTGGCCCCTGCCCCTCCTTCCTGGTACCATGCTTCTGCTATAATTTTTTCCAGTCCCTCATGGCGCTTGATATGACCAAAGGCTATACTCCGAATAACGGTCCTAAATTATCAAGGCGGGAAAATATACCCTAATAGAGCCTCAGTCACGTGTCAACTGCGCACTTCCGGGGACTATAACGCCATCGCCGAATTGCAAACTTCCGCCACCGCGGCGTGGATTGGGGCTAAACTAAATGGCTGGGACTCATGAGCAGCATCTACCGCATCTCCTGCAGCTTCCTTCATTTTATTTGCTTGTGAGTCCTAGCCATCTAGTTTAGCACCAATCCACGCATAGTGAGCGGCGTGTGGGATCCTCTCGGCGGCGGCCGAAGTCGCCGGAAGTTCGCAATTCGGCGGTGGCGTTATAGTCCTCGGAAGTGTGCAGTTGACACGTGACTGAGGCTCTGTTGGGGTATATTTTCCGCCTCGATAATTTAGAATCGTTATTCGGAGGATAGCCGACCAAAATATTTCAGCTTCCGAGACAGGATGCTGTTTATATTAGCCAATCTTCCTTGATGTTCAGATCTTTCAAGATGTCAGTATTTCTCCTCTTCATTGTCCAAGATATTCTAAGAATCTTTCTATAGCATTTCAGCTCAAAAGTCCGTATTCTCTTACTTAAGGACTGAGAGATAGTCCACAACTCACATCCAAATGTAGCCACAGGGAAGATGCTTATTAATTTCACCTACTAGAATATTACGTCTACTATATATATATATATATATATATATATATATATATATATATATATATATATATATATATATATATATATATATATATATATATATATATATATATATATATATACCAATTAAAACCTAGATGGGTTAAACAGGCTATTGTTGATTAAATTACTACTACTTGAAAAACAGTGGTAAATACAAATTTAATTTAACTTGCATAGATCTATAAGTTGTATTTCAGTAATGCACATTTATGTTTATCAATTATTGTTGGTTATTTACTATTGCATAACACCTCAAGGTATTGTTTATATGTCTGTTTTCAAGTTAAATTAATGACTTTACAATTTGGTGTCATGATTTATGTCAGTCAGATATATATAATTAGTTTAGGAGTGGTTGCTTTTATATTTATTATTTGCTAGTAGTTGCAGCAAAGGTAGTGGTATACTGGTAGTAGTAGTTTTAGTAGACCCTACTACTAGGGTTCTTTTCTGTTTTTTTACCACATCACCCTGGCTTTTTTTTTTTTTTTAAACATCACTGCAGACGAGGGGTTGCCTAACTAAGTGTCAAACTAGTAAACATATGTAAAATTGCCAGCTAGGTAAAACCACAAACAACAAAGAAATCTGGGATTGTTGTGTGACGTCTCTAAACCTTTTCAGTCCCAAAGGACGCATCAAACATTTATAGATTCTTACCAAGAAGCCCAATGCATGCAAGATTCGCCTATTATACGTCTCTTTTACTATCCCTTGGGCCTCTGATGCTCAACCCCTGGAACTCAAAAGAGTTATCTATTTCAATCTCTGATGGTTGTAGTTGATGCCTAGATAAAGCAGTTAATCCAGCAACAAAATCATGGGTATATTATACCCACAGGAGCTAAATACACAACCCTTGTAGGAGACTGGTGTATTGTTGGGTGTTTTACTATGCATTGAATAAACATAAAATGTACAATAATAATAATATTTTGACTGTTGCACATGATGAAATCTGGTAACTTATGGTGCGTTAGATAGTGAAAAAAAAAGCAACTAACATTTTTTCCATCTGATTGGTCCAGATATTCTTAGCATTGGCAGTGTGAAAATTCAGAAAGACCTCCTGTATTTAAACACTCAGAAAATCAGCATAGTATTGTAAAGATTATTGTTAGCTGTTTGTTTAGGTTGAAATGGTTCTGCATTGTAACTTATATAGAAAAAAGATGCCCTGCTAAGCGAAATCCGGTTCCATCAAAGAAGCACAGATTTGGGTCAGCGGTTATCCACTGAATGACGATCAAGGTCATTGAACTCTTTCCCTACTTCAAAACTCGCTGTACGTTCATTGACAAGGTGACAATAAAAGAAAACATACTATTCTGAGGCTATTTCATCACAGAAAATGATAATATTCTTTTTCTTTCTCCTCCTCCTTCTTCTCTTCCTTATTCTTCTCCTCCTTCTTCCTTATCCTCTTCTTCTTCCTCTTCCTCCTCCTCCTGTGCTGCCACAGCCTCCTCCTCTTTCTCCTTTTGTTCTCCAGTAGAGCATAACCTCACCCAAACCTAGTTTTTGAAGACACTTCTTTTCAGATTTGTTGTTTGAATTTTCAATGCAAACCTTCTTGCTTTAAGGTGACCTGTTTAAAGCAGAACTGTCTGCTACTGAAGGAATTAAGATCAGTTTCATAATGTCCTTGTTATTCTCTTTGGCTAAATGGTTCAGCCGTTGCCTCATACTCTGAAAGTGTGGGATCATTTCACACTTTGTGTCATTCAGTTCAGGAATGCCATTTTTATGAAGACCCCTGGGAGTCATCAGTGGAGCTGCAGAGTTTGTGCATTGTTTGATACTGTCAGCTAGATGTTGTAATTACAGAGACTGAGCCATATAGGATCAAATCTGGTGTAATGAAGATGATCCTCTTGACTTTACACCTTCTTTGACCTTTCATTTTGTTTCACTTTAAATTTATTAGGGCCTAAAAAATACCTGTGATGCCTGATCCAATGATTGCTTTTAAACTTGACCGTTTTGTAAGACTGAAACATTTCTACAGAAGCCTGGGTAATTTAGCATGATCAAGAGAAGTGTCGAGGATAAAAAACTTGAGAATTCAGTTGTTTGTCATGCAAAACATATGACATGACAGTCAACCAGACACAGGTGTGTTTGTCATTTGTTAAAGAGGATCATATTGCCAGCCATCAGTCCCAGTGTTGGTTCAGACATGACTGATTAGACTCACCATCCCTGTGTGGGTTGCGGGGTCCCCTTGTGGGGAAAACAAGCCTACCCAAAAACATGTTGTAAGAGTTGACTGATTGGGGGCTTTCTTTCTTAGTTGGAGTGCATCTGCCTGGGAGCCCAGAAATAGTCTACATACAAGTAAGTCAGATTTGTAAATCGGATGCCACACAACACTCAGATTCTGGAACAAGACTACAGTCCAAAAGTGGACAAACAACCAGAACTTTCCGCTGGAGTTTACAGCTGGTGAACTCGAAGACGAAGACGATTCGCCAGGGCGGTTAATTAGATGAATATGAGATGTCTGAGAAAGGCTGCAGGAGTGACCACAAGAGCTAAAATCAGGAATGAGGCCATAAGAGAAAAAGTAGGCACACAACTAATTCTAAATGACATATAAAAACAGCAAATCAAATGGTTTGCCCACTTAGAGAGAATACCTTGTTTCACCATATCATAAAAGCCATACATATAAAGATAAGGACATATAGCATCAGTTAGACCAGAAAAAAGATGGAAAGATAGCACCAGAGAAACTCTACAGCAGCATGACATGTCTATGGTCCAGGCAGCTAGAAGAACAAGAAGCAGACCGGTGTATCTCCCCCAACACCAGAAGCAGTAAAAGAAGAAATAAAGAAGAAGAAGAAGAGCATGGAAACATTTGGTACAATAAGAACTTAAGACCTTTGACTGTAGTTATGTTATAATTCTTTCAGCTTTAAGCAAGAAGCGGCTAACAGAATAGTTAAGAATGATGGACTCTAATTCAAGAGACTCAGGTTAAAATTCTTGATAAGGTGATGGTTATTTTTTTTTTTCTGTATGTGGGCATATTAAAAATCAAAAGTCTGCACAGGTCGTGGTGAGCAGCAAAAAAAAAACACACACAAGAAAACACCCACAAAAACTGAAATATTTGACCTGTGGATTTCCAGTATTTAAGGCGAAATAATGAGAAAGTACCCACTGATGTAGTAGGTGTGTGGGTTTGAATCCTGACACTGCACACCCACATGAGAAACCTGAGCTTTGTTGATCCTAGACACAGTCTTGGATAAACTAGAATACAGCAAAAGTGGCTCGTACAATAAAATGAACGTTGCTGTACTTGTATTCACAGGAGTAGGAAATGGAATAGTTAGATATCAAATATCAAGTTAACTCCTCCGTCTTTCTCCACTCCTGATATTAATTTATAAGACGAATTCCCCCATCAAGTGATTTATATCTAACATACTAAATAAGGTGGCTTCCATGGCTTAGACCTTGTGAGTCCGACTCATAATTCCAACGTACAGCGATCGAAACCCAATGCTGGCTGCATGGATTTTTTATCACGTTATGGGGGGTGTTGCAGGTCGACCCAGCCTTAAATGGGTACCTGGATGTTTGTCCTAGGAAAGTAAAGACGGCCGGCGTAATGCTGACCACATTACCCACCTAGTGCCGATTGGTCTGTAAAAATATGGGTGCTCTTCCCATATGCTTGACGCGTCTAAGTTGTAAAAAGGGATCTTTACTTACTTTTTCTTATACTAAATATGGTGGTTTCGACACGCCTGGGGGTAAAGCTTGTTTATGCACATCTATGCTGTGTTCGAGGTCAGGACAGGAGACATTATAATCAACCTCTCATAGAAACAAAAAGCAGATGTACCTTGGGGTGGCTGCTGCATCTAAGTATTGAGCACACATGGGAATGCCCGATGTGCAGGGACATTGATTGTGATGACATAGCTAGTTAATGGTGATTGCACTAACCATGTCACGCCAAATCCGGAGGTCCAAGACATTCCCTGCTACACACTGCTCTGAAAAGTGGTATATATAGACAGTAATGGCAATATGTTGCTTGGAGGTGGCAAATCAGGAAGGAAATGAGAATGACAGAAACAAATTAATGCAGAAAAGATGAGCGCAGGGTGTCTGAGAAGAAGCGCACTAAATACAATTAATGGCAACAGTGGTCCTGAAATCATATGCTCTATTTGTGGAAGACTTTTCTTAACGTGGGCGGGTTTTGCTAGTCACATTCGCCATCGCCATGGGCTGTGAGTTCCATGCCTCCTCATGTAAAACCCTATTGTCTGGAAAGATGGAAAGTTGCCAACCAATGACAGTGTGAAGCTACTCAATATGCATTTATTAATTTCTCTGTTTACACACTTTGTGTGTGTTGTATGGCTATGGCTCAGTAATTAATTAATCCACTGGACTGTGACTAAGAAACTTAACAAAGGATGTGGGAGAGAGGCAAACATTACATACACAAACAAGATGAATTCTCTGTGGAAAAGAGGCAACCACTTTACTGTGGCTTTATGGGTTATGAATGCAGTGTTATATTTCTGAGATACCAGATTTGATTTCAGCTGCAGGTGATTTGGCAAGAGCAAACACTCTGTGCTGAGTTTGATATAAGCCACAGCATTTAATAAGCAGTTTCAGTTGTTACTTTAACTCTTTCTCCCTTGGAACGCTAAATGAATGGGTCATGATTCAGTTCTCAAGAGAAATCCTTTAAAAACCAAAATTGTACACAGGTCACTAATAAATAAAATAAAAATAAAAAGTATTAAGGTAAATCTCCCCCCCCCCCCCCCCCCCCCCCACACACACACACACACATAATATTTAAAGATATATAAAATACGTAATACATAAACAAGACCTGGTGAAGCATAAAATGGAATGCATTCCCCAGGGCCTTTAAAAACATATTGGGTGACTTGTGCCATGACCTTATCACCTCCATCACTGAGGCTTAAAGGTAAATGTTACAACTTAGCTTTTAAAAAAAAAACATTTGCCTTCAAAGATCCCCCCCCCCCCCCATCCCCAACCTTTTCCCTCCACAGATGTTGATTTTAGTTACCAGTAATATGTTCACACCCTGCCTTTACAATCATTTGTGCAGGCATGAACACAGTAGCATTAACTGTAGATCTCTTAAACAGGTCATTATAGACAGATAGGAAAAGTGGCAATAGTGGATAATTGGACACAGTTGGAAGTGTTGGTTTTGGGGCTTCTCTGAGCAAAAAGGTTAAATAAGTATATTTCAGTTGAGATTTTAACTCGCTCTATCTCATAGTTGTAATATTCGAACTCATTCAGGCTTCAAGATTTTTTACTCTAAGTACACCTGTATGGGGACTCGCCGTGGTGTAGCAGCTAGATGCCCGCCTGCTGATCTGTAGGTCAAGGATTCAAGTCCTGACACAGCCAAACTTTTTTTAAAATGACTTTAGCTCCAAGGTCAACCTAGTCCTAAATGGGTGCCAGGTAAAGTTCTGGGAAGTAAAGGCAGTCGGCATGATGTTGACCACATCATCCACTGAGGGCCAGTTGGTCTGTAAAATATAGGTCTAGCCCTATGTGTCCAGTACACCTGAAGGTGTGGAATAGGGTCCTTCACTTTTGCTTGGACACCTAAATGACCTGTACTTTAAAGGTAATATGATTGATCTCTTTCCACTTTTATGATAGAAAGCAATGTTAGTGTTGCTAGATAGTCACCTGGCAATCTAAAGGTCTCGGGTTCAATTCTGCATCAATGGAAGTAAAAACAACCACTGTGATATTGACCACATCACCCACTGAATGCTGGGACTCATCTATTAAAACATGAGTCTAACATCTTATGTTCGATGCGCTATGTCAGGAAAAGAGTCCTTTACTGTTGTTATAACTATCGAGAAAAACCTACATTTCCCTTAGTGCAAACATTTTTCACCGTAACGCCTGTATAAAATAATGTTACTAATTTAAATAATCAGTTGTAATGAGCAAAGCATGACTTCATTAGCATCCCTCTCCTCTCTTTCACCCCACATATACAACATGATAAATCAATAGCATTTAGGATTATGAGCTGTTTGCATGCAGAACATTGTCATTTACTGTGATTATATGCTGTTAATGACACTGGTTTTATCTGCACGATTCTAGGAGCATTCCTCATTCCATTCTTCATCATGCTAATTCTGTGTGGGATTCCCCTGGCTTACATGGAAATGGCTGTCGGTCAGTACACAAGACAGGGACCTATTGGAGCAATTGGGAAGCTGTGTCCATTTTTTAAAGGTATTTCGTTATTAACATTTTTATTTATTCCATTCTTTTTTTCTGGCTGTTTGTTGAATCTTAGATTTCAGCCGTTGCCTCATACTCTGAAAGTGTGGGTTTATTTCACAATCTGTATTATCTGGTTCAAGAATGCTTTTTTTAATGGAGACACTGGAAGTCATCAATGGAACCAACCGTAGATTATTGACATATGTGGAAGTGATTGCGATAAACAGGTTTAGTCCAGAATAATGCAGACAAAGGACATGCTCTTCACCTTGCATTTACCCTGGTGAAACAGTTTTTCAATATAATCGATTTTATGTTTCAGTTCGAAAGATTCATTTATTTGCTTCATTTTAATCAGTTGTTATTGTAGTATGCACCTGATGAGATACTGTGAAATATGCCAGGCATTTAATTGTGCATTCTATTGTTTGTGTCATCTTTGTGTGAACCTTAGGTTTATTTTTTTTGGTTAATTCTTTTTTAAATGTTAAATCTGTGTGCTGTTTTATTTCCTCATGAAATTGTTCTCTAGAATATAAGCTGTTATGATATGATAGATTGAATGTTATGATGGCTCTCTGGTATGAAGTGGGTTAAGTGAATCAATATCTGGAGAGACTGATTCAGTTAGGGATGAGCAGCGGGTCTGGGCAGTTTTTGAGGGGGATGGTCTTTTGATAAAGTTTCAGTAGGCTGTATCGGTGTGGGAACTCTTCATTGGTTATTGATGAAGGGGAGGGAGCACGTCTGGGAATGTCCTGAGTGTGATTCGTCAGTTCCTAATTTATTTATTCATTCCTTTATTATCAGGTTATTTATTCATTCCTTCATTATCAGGTTATTTATTCATTCCTTCATTATCAGGTTATTTATTCATTCCTTCATTATCAGGTTATTTATTCATTCCTTCATTATCAGGTTATTTATTCATTCATTCATTTATTATCATGTTATTTATTCATTCCTTTATTATCAGGTTATTTATTCATTCCTTTATTATCAGGTTATTTATTCATTCCTTCATTATCAGGTTATTTATTCATTCATTTATTATCATGTTATTTATTCATTCCTTTATTATCAGGTTATTTATTCATTCCTTCATTATCAGGTTATTTATTCATTCCTTCATTATCAGGTTATTTATTCATTCCTTCATTATCAGATTATTTATTCATTCATTTATTATCAAGTCTTGCTAGTCACACTCGCCATCGCTACAGGTGGTGATTTCCATGCCTCACTGTAGCACAGTTTAACACCATCTTCTGGAATTCATTCATTCACTTGTCATTAATTCCTACATTCATTGTGTTGTTCACATTGTTCACGTCTGCTCATTATGTTTCTTCTTTACAGAGGAACACTTACTGCTGTTGTTGGTGCACTGATGTCAGTTCTTGATTTAAGTTTTTATTTATTACTTTATTTGTATTCATTTTTTAAAAGCGATATTTCAGCCTGTATTTGTGCTGTGTCTGTCAAACTATTTTTAATGAAAGCGGTACTCAGAGCAGAATTGATCCACTGCTTGTCAGTAATAGTGACTATGCTTGAACAACATTAAAGGATTGCGGTAATAACAGGTGGGTTTTACAGGCATTATATTTGACAGGTGATTGTTGTTGAACCCTGTGACGGCTTTATTCTTGTGTGATTAGATGGTTAGGGGCTGGTGATGATTTTAATCTTGAGTGAATTAGACAGTTGGTGGCTGGTGATGTTTTTAATCTTGTGTGAATTAGACAGTTGGTGGCTGTTGATGATTTTAATCTTGTGTGAATTAGACATTTGGTGGCTGGTGATGTTTTTAATCTTGTGTGAATTAGACAGTTGGTGGCTGGTGATGATTTTAATCTTGTGTGAATTAGACATTTGGTGGCTGGTGATGATTTTAATCTTGAGTGAATTAGACAGTTGGTGGCTGTTGATGATTTTAATCTTGTGTGAATTAGACATTTGGTGGCTGGTGATGATTTTAATCTTGAGTGAATTAGACAGTTGGTGGCTGGTGATGTTTTTTAATCTTGTGTGAATTAGACAGTTGGTGGCTGGTGATGATTTTAATCTCGTGTGAATTAGACAGTTGGTGGCTGGTGATGTTTTTTAATCTTGTGTGAATTAGACAGTTGGTGGCTGGTGATGATTTTAATCTCGTGTGAATTAGACAGTTGGTGGCTGGTGATGTTTTTAATCTTGTGTGAATTAGACAGTTGGTGGCTGGTGATGATTTTAATCTCGTGTGAATTAGACAGTTGGTGGCTGGTGATGTTTTTTAATCTTGTGTGAATTAGACAGTTGGTGGCTGGTGATGATTTTAATCTCGTGTGAATTAGACAGTTGGTGGCTGGTGATGTTTTTAATCTTGTGTGAATTAGACAGTTGGTGGCTGATGATGATTTTAATCTTGTGGGAATTAGACAGTTGGTGGCTGGTGATGTTTTTAATCTTGTGTGAATTAGACAGTTGGTGGCTGGTGATGTTTTTAATCTTGAGTGAATTAGACAGTTGGTGGCTGGTGATGATTTTAATCTCGTGTGAATTAGACAGTTGGTGGCTGGTGATGTTTTTTAATCTTGTGTGAATTAGACAGTTGGTGGCTGATGATGATTTTAATCTTGTGTGAATTAGACAGTTGGTGGCTGGTGATGTTTTTAATCCTGTGTGAATTAGACAGTTGGTGGCTGGTGATGATTTTAATCTTGAGTGAATTAGACAGATGGTGGCTGGTGATGATTTTAATCTTGTGTGAATTAGACAGTTGGTGGCTGGTGATGTTTTTAATCTTGAGTGAATTAGACATTTGGTGGCTGGTGATGATTTTAATCTTGAGTGAATTAGACAGTTGGTGGCTGGTGATGATTTTAATCTTGTGTGAATTAGACAGTTGGTGGCTGGTGATGATTTTAATCTTGAGTAAATTAGACAGATGGTGGCTGGTGATGATTTTAATCTTGTGTGAATTAGACAGATGGTGGCTGGTGATGATTTTAATCTTGTGTGATTTAGACAGTTTGTGGCTGGTGATGATTCTACTCTTGTGGGAATTAGACATTTAGGGGCCGATAATGATTTTAATCTTGTGTGAATTAGACAGTTGGGGGGCCGATAATGATTTTAATCTTGTGTGATTTAGACAGTTTGTGGCTGGTGATGATTCTACTCTTGTGGGAATTAGACATTTAGGGGCCGATAATGATTTTAATCTTGTGTGAATTAGACAGTTGGGGGGCCGATAATGATTTTAATCTTAGACAAATGTGTGGCTTTTTCTGCCTACCCCTAAACGTGGACTCAGACCACAAGGAGTTTGTCACCCGGTTACTGCGCAGCTGGTTTAGCCAACTTAGCTAGCTTCTTTGGGCGGCACCAAGGATTAGAAGACAGTTAGTGTGTGTCACCTGGGGAGAGGTGGATGGGAACTTAGTACACAGTGTGGGGAAGAAGATTAGCCTGGTTGTTTGTGGCAGTAATGACATAAGTGACAGGAAGTGGCAGCAGCTCAGGACAGGCTAAAGATGGTAACATCACATAAACTGGATCTGATTCATCAGCATCGTCGTCATTATCATCATGTAGTCAGGGCTGCCAAATCTTTTGGGGAGAAGAGTACCAATTTTTTTTTGAAAAGATACTTAAACATACCGAACGGTACCAAAATGTTAATTATAAAACCTTTAGAAAATTTTTTTTTTAAATGCACACCAAAAAACATACACGCATGCACACAGACCATGCACACACACATATATAACAAATATCTTACCTTATTTTTGATTAGAATTGCAGTTTTTTTGTCTATTACATTATTGCAGTTCAGTTTATTTTTCGCTTATTTGCTGCAAAGCTGCTGTGTTGGCTTTATATTGGTGCAGTTAATGTTGTAACACAATAACTTTAAACTTGCTAGTGCATTTATTGTTTAAATCTCAAAGAAGAGCAATTTTTAAATCTTAATATTGTTAAGTAGAGTGGAAATTGAAACATGCCATACACCAGGCATGGTACCAAATTACAGTTTTGCTTGATAACGGTCCAATAGTACCAGATTTGTACGAAAGTACCAAGTTTGGCAGCTCTGTATTTGGTCCTTGCAGTCATTATGGTGGATAGGAATGTTCACTGTTTTTAGTTGTAGCAAGTTTTGACTTTTGACAATGGTTAGCCATTGCATTTGTTCCATATATAGGTTTAGTTGGATTTGTTTTTATAGTTCTTCTGCGTTATGTAGATATCGTTGGATTTGTATATGTACTTCTTCTGCGTTATGTTTGTATGGTTGGATCTGTATATGTAGTTCTTCTGCGTTATGTTTGTATGGTTGGATCTGTATATGTAGTTCTTCTGCGTTATGTTCGTATGGTTGGATTTGTATATGTACTTCTTCGGCGTTATGTTCGTATGGTTGGATCTGTATATGTAGTTCTTCTGCGTTATGTTTGTATGGTTGGATCTGTATATGTAGTTCTTCTGCGTTATGTTTGTATGGTTGGATCTGTATATGTAGTTCTTCTGCGTTATGTTTGTATGGTTGGATCTGTATATGTAGTTCTTCTGCGTTATGTTTGTATGGTTGGATCTGTATATGTAGTTCTTCTGCGTTATGTTTGTATGGTTGGATCTGTATATGTAGTTCTTCTGCGTTATGTTTGTATGGTTGGATCTGTATATGTAGTTCTTCTGCGTTATGTTTGTATGGTTGGATCTGTATATGTAGTTCTTCTGCGTTATGTTTGTATGGTTGGATCTGTATATGTAGTTCTTCTGAATTATGTAGGTATGGCTGGATTTGTAAATGTACTTCTCCTGCATTATTTTGGTATGAGTTGATTTGTGTGTGAACTACTTCTGCATTCATCCCATGATGTAATTACATTGTGCCCGTTTACAGCATGGCTGTGATATTTGCACCTTTTGGTTGACACATCTGACAACTGCAGGCATTTGTTGACTGATTCAGGCTTCCCGGGGATTTGTATACGTACTGTAACAGTCAGTCATTATCACTA